ACTCGGTTAGAAATATACAAAATAAATCTGAATTTGAATTTGAATCTGAATCGAATTATACATATTTAAAGATCATATCTAAAAGGATTGGTCTTTCAAGACCGAACACAAATTCAAAACATTTCTATACACTTAAAACAGTTCCCATTTTTTCAAGTCTTGATTAATAAGAAACAATCTGAAACAAAACTGATCAAAAACCAAACCATGCTCAATCAATACTTTTTACAATGATATAGGGGTTGCTTGTTTACCTCTTAATAGTTTCATTAAAAAACAACATGTGAACCCTTAAAAGGTGAATCTTGTTTGACATAAAAAAAATCTGCCTATTAATGGTTCTAAAACTCTTTGAATGATTTTGTATCATGGATCTCCCTTAATAATTCAGCCCCTTAATTTCATTGTAAACAATTACCAAACAATTATGTTTCATTTGCAGTATATCATAAGAGTCTTTTAATAATTCTGACAACTTAATTATTCTATATCAAATCATTCAATAACAGTCAAACAACCTCATTATTTGTTAAAACTTGGTAACTAACCAACCTTAGATGTGACACCACTAACATGTGTGTTTTTCTAAAAGCATTGACCAATCTAGCTGCAATTAATTGGATGTGACGTCATCACAGCAAATCGAGAAAATGCATAAAATGTAATGTATGTGATTTTCTGGCATTTGGATTACCTAATTTTTTGTATTTTTTGTTAATTTGGTAATTAAGATGTAAAGTTTTTAAACAATTAAGTACCCGGTAACCGGTTAATGTTTTAACCGGTTATCATGTTGATGTGGCGGATGATGAGATGAATTGAGTTGAATAGCAAGTAATACTAAGTTGGATATCACATCACTCGCCACATCAACATGGTAATCGATTAATACTTCAACCGGGTACCCGAATACTTGACTGTTTAAAACTTTATGTTATCATTAAAATAGATGTTTTAAAAGTATGTTACCGAAAATAAGAATAAAGTTAGAGTATGTTACTTTTTCAAACAATTTATCATTTTTTTTAAAAATACAACATTTTCTTGTAAAAATGTACTAGAAGAGTACTCGCACAATGCAGCGAGATATATTTCATTTTGATGTTTCATTTTATTTTTGTCTCTGTTGTATAATACGATTTATATGATTTTGAGTATAATGGTTTTACGATTTAGTGAAGTAATTTATTTTTGATTTAACAATAAATTTTTATAAAGAAAATGATTATGTTAGAACTCAATAATTATCTTAATTATATTTTAGATTTTTTTATATTTAAAATGAGATGTTTATCCTGTATTTGATTATGTTTATCTGCAGTTAGTTATACGAATTGAAAAATGGAGCTTTAATAAGTTGTACTTACACACAATTTACTTGTATCTTAAATTTTAAGTAATATGCATTAATACACAATACTTCATGTGTAAAAAATTATTTTTAAGAGTTCTTGTCAAATGTTTTATAATATAGTGTAAATTATGGGTTTGAAATAATGGTTTTGAAAAATAAAATAAATACATAATTGATTAAAATAATTATTAAATGGATCTTCAATATATATAATAATATTTTTTTATTAAATTAATGATATCAAATTTATTT